GGTTTCTTTAGGCTTATCGGACTGCTTAGCAATGTAGTAGGAGGCTATAAAGCCCTTTATATAGGCTATTAGCATGTTAGCTAGGCTACGGCGAGTTAATCGATTAATACTAGTATCGGCTAGGTATCTACGCAATAGCTCTCGTACTAACTTGTTGCTTCGAGTAGTACGTATTAAACGAGCGCCTATAGCATTTAGTCGCTTAAACTCCGGCAACTAGCTAGGCTCGCCCTTCTTAGCGTAAGGATCGTACGCTAGTTCTTCCTCGGCTAACTGAAAGCTATCTTTATTACTTAAAGGCGGTTAAACAGCTAGTAGGTTATCGTCGAGTAGTAACGGACTAGCGACCTCGTTAGTTACCTCTATATCCTAAGCAGGCTCGTCTAGAGGCTCTTCCTACTAGGCTAGAAGCTGCTAGACTATACTAGCTGCTTCCTATAGCGACGGTGCCTCGTTGCTTGTAGAATTAAACAGAGCCGGTATAATAGACTCGAGTATAACAAACTCGTTCTTAGCTAGGTCGTTAGGATTGGCGTATAGATTTATACCCTCTAGAAGCGACAACTTGTCGTCCCCTAACTTAATAAACTAGACATCCTTCGAGGCAACTACCTTATATTCGTTAGATAAGTAGATTATGTATTTGCTAGAGTCTACTAAGTCCTTCGCATAACCAACTAGTTTGCTAAGCCTCCTACGAGCGTTAAACTTCTTGCTACGAGCTATACTATAGTCGTAGACAATAGTAGTATAGCTATAGGCTCGGAGGTATTAAAGGCGTAGCTGCTTCCGAGACCAATTGAGCTCCCTAGCTATAATAGCATAGGGGCTAAGACCTTCCAAGTTTCTAGGAGTGATATTGAGGACCTGTATAGTAGTAGTAACTGCATATAGCTACAGGGCCTTTAGCAAATTCGCATAGAGCATTATCTTCCGAGCGGTCGTATACACGATATAGTTGCTAACCTTAGCTAGGCTATTCTAAGTAGAAGAATAAGGTGCTGTAACCTGTAGTACAATGCCCTAATTACGAGCCTAGCTTAATAGCTAATTTCCGCCGTATTCACCCCCTTTATCGAGGCAGTAGATCGGGATCGAATAGCTAGTTTATATACGGACGTATATACGGTAATCCTTAATTGCTACTACAGCCCCTAACTTTAGTAAGCTAGTATATTCGTATCGATAACCTAACTTGGCGCATGTAAACAGTGTGAAATAGCGCTCCTGCAATAGACTAGGATTAGTAATAGTAACTACATCTATACAAACAATGTAATAGATTGTAGATAGTCGTACGCGTAGCAGCCGATTGTATTCCTTGTGTAATATAGCTATTCGACAGGCAATGCAGTTGCGGAAGTCGTTCTTGTTGCTAGTGCTAGTAATAACAATCTAACCCTTAGCTTCTATTCGTAATAGCTTGCGATAATAGATATAGCTATATCGCAGATGCTACTCTTCTATCGTACCTATTAGCACCCCCTTCTTCGACAGAAGCGCAACAACCTAGCTATCCGGACTAGAGGTTAGTATATACAGATAGGGGAGACTATTCTTGCGGTATATCTAAGCAACAGTAACTTCCGAGCCGTTAACAACAGTAAACAGTACTCGCTTATTATTCCGATAGAAACAGCCCTTATCGGCAAGCTTCTTAGTAGACAGAAGGTTAGCTACTAGACCTGGAACATATAGTGTATTAGACAGCTTTATGCTGCTTATACTACGCTTATTAACAACCTTAGTCTAAGCTATACTAACTATCGTAGCGTGCTTCGTGTTGCTACTAAACCGAATAGGAATGTAACAGCCTTTATATTTAATAAGCAATAAAGGGTCGTTAACTATATATATGCTAGTACCTAAGTCGACAACCTAATTAGTAGTACGAGTGCTAGCAGTAAGAGCCGTAGAAACCTAGTCGCTAATAGTAACTATAGTGTTTGCAGTAAAGGCGTAATTGTAGCTTAGGTCTAATAATACCCCTAGGGTAGTATTAGCCGCATATAGGCCCTAGGCACTATTCTGACTAGATAGCGGCTATTGTTGCTGCGCAGTCAGTCTACGCTGCTGCTATTGCTGCTTCTTAGCCTTCTACTTCTCGCGACGAAGACGGTCTTCCTCCTTTAGGTAAGGGTACTTAGTATAGCAGCGGTCGGAAGGGTAAGTGCCTTAACAGTATAAGCACTTCTCGCGATTTTGACTATTCTAGTTGTTTCTACTACGACTACGACTATTGCTGCTTCCGCGGCTACTACGACCGCTACGGTTCGAGTTACCTCGACCGCTATTGTTATTGCTATTGCTACCTTGCTATTATAGTTAGCGCTAAAGACTAAAGAAGCTATTATATTAGGCCTAGTTCAGTTGAGCTACATTCTTATTAAGTAACGCGCTAATAATGTTGTTAAGGGTGCTGTTATTAATAGTATATTCCGAGGCGCGCATTTGCTTACGGCGCATCTATGCGAATGCCTCGTAGAATAGTGCGATCTGTATAATAAACATATAGATAGCCTAGTATTGGCTAATAGCCAATTTAGTATCCTTTAAGGCACCAAGCTTCTTCTTATATTCGTTATAGAACTTCTTAACGTCCTTGCTATTATACCGAAGGGTGATATATTCCTAGTAGAGCATGAATTTAGTAGACCCACCTTTACTAGTATATTTCTTCTTAAGGAAGTCCTATACTTCCTAGGATGTAGATAGACTAAGTAGTAATTGTTAAATATTACCGATACAATTAGCAAAGATCTAGGTACGCGCTGTTTGATCTTTGGAGTCCTATTCATCTTAGCGGTCTTTAAACTCTTTAGAAGACTTACTAGAGGTCTTAGAAAGGGGTCGCTAGCGGGTGCCTTATATATAGCGCCAAACCGACATACCTTTAAGAGCGCCTTTAGCGGCGTACGACTATAATAGGTAATTCTCCTTATTCTTTAGCTTGGGAATGTTGCTTATATAAGCGCTAGAGGTTGTAGGGGGAGCTATTGCGGACAGCGACGGCGATAAGGGGCGGCCGACAGGCGCGCCTATATTATAGTATAGCGGACAGCTAATACTATTATTAGGAACTGGTATAGCGGACAGCTAACACTAATAATAACCGACTCGAGTCGGACTAGCACCTACTAGAACACTCGAGGGCGGCGAGGGTAGCGGCGACAATATCGGTGTCGGCGCAACTATTAGTAACGAGCGCTAGCTACGCAGCAGTCGGAGTAACTATTAGAATACTTATTAAACGTGTTGTGTACGTTAGAAACGTAGGGGGCTTATAACTACTTAATGTAACTAATGTAATTTAGAAGAAGGACTATCTACGGAAAGTCTAAAGATGAAGTGCGGCAGTTGCAGCCTTAGGCATTAGGCACGTAATAGACCCTAACACTACATACTCTAAGTAATACATATTACTTTATAGCTTATTATATATAGAGATAGCGCAGTTAGAGTTGTATATTGTGTTGTTTAGAGGTAAGGTTTAATATAGTTATATAATTAGGTAGTTAAGTGTTTAATTTAGTACGGCTAAGCGGCTTATTAGACTTGCTAAGTTAGTAGCAATAGAGGTCGAGATTAGAATATAGACAGGCTACGAGGGCGCGGCCTTTAGAAGGGAAGCGTGTATTAGGGCTAAAGGGGCTATACGTAATTAGTATGTAATTAGGCCGAGTAAAGCTAGGGTCTTAGTGCCTTAGGTAGGGCTTAGCGCTTAGCGTTAGGCTAACTAGCCTACCTTCCTCCCTCTCCTTCTAGCTCCTTATCGAATACTACTCGTATCTACTACTACCCTATCTACCTGCTAATATACCCTTCTTATACCTACGTAGCAAAGTTAGTACCTTAGTAGCTAAGAATTTATTGCTTACCACTTAAGTTAATAGTCTAAGATAGGTACTATATAATAAGTAGAAGCGCCGTAAACGAGGTAAGAAGCTCTTTAAATAAGTAAGGGCAGAAGACGGCTCTACTTCTACTTTCTATAGTCCTTCTAAGCTATAGAGAGCTAAAGAGATATAGTAAGAGAGAGAGTAATAGAAGGAGGTAGAAGCGGCTCGTAAACAAGACGAGAAGGTATAGAAGGCACTTAAGAAGCAATACGTACTTACTATTAAATAGCTAAAAGCGACTTAGCGATAGTTAGAAGCTAAAGAGAAGAAGGCTAGGCTTGCTAAGGAAGTATATAAGAAGGAGATAAAGAAGGTAAATAATTAGGCTATAAGATAGCTTAATAATAACCTATAAGAGAGTATTAAGAAGACTAAGAACCCTCTCTAGCGTATTGTCTTTGAACAACCGCCCGAGTAAGATATAGTGCTTACCCTAACTAAGAAAGCTAGTAGTTCGGCTTCTAGTAGGGCTTTACGTAGTACGTAATTACTACTGCGATATAGAATATAATCTCTATATTAGATAAAAGAGCGCATTTAGCGCTTTTATATGCACTAATAATAACTACAATCCGTCTAGTATTACGTAAATGCGACCGTGTTGAAGATATAGTGCTAAATAGTATACGGCTGTGCGGCAGGCGGGAGTGTGCGGCAGGTGGGGAAGACTTCTAGAATACACTTACTTTTCCATCGACCGATTTCACGTTCTCACAGAAAAGAAAATGCCAGCCTCTTCCACCCACACGCCCTAACGCTGACACGTGCCCAACGTGCATCGCGTCCTCTGAGAGCGCCGTGAGGCTTGAGCACGATGGATCACACTATGGCGACTATGCGCTGCACATGCATGCATGGTGTTCCATGCAGCTGGCGAGCATGGGCCATATATGTACAATGTAATTGCCATGCCCTGATTCTAATTAGAATTGCCCTCGTGTCCCTGCAGTGCTGGCTCTGACTGCCCGAGTCTTTGGCAAGCTCTCGAGATGTCCGCCCTCACCTTCGTTTCAGCAGCTTTGCTGGCCACCGCCAATGCTCTGCCTCAACGGCCTGGTGGAAGCTGGGGACCTGCAGGCGGGTAGGTAGCCTACGCTATCAATGATCGAGATTGGAGCTCACACTGCTGATAGTAGCCCATGGCACGGAGGCGGCAATGGCCAGCAACCTCCGACGAACAACTATGTCGTCTCGCTCGGCCCACGCCCATATTACCTGGTCCAGAATATGACCGACAGCGCCTTGAAGACCAAGCTAGCGTCGTGCGAGAACCTGGACTTCAAGGTGAATGGCTTCGTCATTGGTCACCGTGGTGGAGGAACTCTGCAGTTTCCAGAAGAGACTGCTCAGTCCGAACAAGCAGGTGCTCGTATGGGTGCGGGCATTCTTGAGTGTGATGTGTCTTTCACGGGAGATAGAGGGCTTGTTTGCAGACATTCGCTTTGCGACTTGCACACCACTACCGATATCCTAGTCCGGCCCGAGCTGGCCAAGAAGTGCGTGGTCCCATTCACTCCAGCCAATGCCTCTTCGCCAGAAGGAGCCACAGCAGTTTGTTGTACTTCTGATATCACAACTGCAGAGTACGAGACGCTTTGTGCCAAGCAGGATGCCTACAATGCTTCGGCCAGAACCCCACAGGACTACCTGGGAGTAGCCCCAGATTGGCGAACCGAGCTCTACGACACTTGCGGCAAGGTCCTCACTCTGGACAGCTACATCGATCTCGTCGAATCCCTGCCTGTTCAGCGCAACTTCACACCCGAGCTCAAGACTCCTCCCACGCCATGGGTTCCTATGCCTTTCCATGGCTATACTCAGCAGCAGTATGCCCAGGACTTCCTTGACACTTTCAAGAGGAAGGGAATCAGCTACAACCGAATCTGGCCGCAGAGCTTTTTGTACGACGATATCCTCTACTGGCTCAAGAACGATCACGAGTTCGGAAAGCAAGCCATTTTCCTCCAGGAATACGACACAGCAGCCGACATCGTCAACGCAACTGCGAACTTGACTGAAGTTCGTGCTGCTGGTGTCAACATCATTGGTCCTTCCATTCCTATGCTTGTACAGGCTGGTGGTCCAAACAACGATACCATTGTGCCATCTGCATACGCGAAGGCCATCACAGATCATGGCTTCGACATCATTGCTTGGACCTTCGAGCGTAGTGGACCATTGGCTACCGTCAAGTCCCGCGGCGAGTACTACTTCAGCAGCATTGCCAACATCGTATCGTACGATGGCCAGTACTATAATCTACTGGACGTCCTTGCGAACCAGATCAAGATCAAGGCACTCTTCACCGATTGGGCTGCATCTGTGACTTACTTCGCGAATTGCTTTGGTCTGCAGGGTCCTCAGAACATTTACAAATAGATTTGAATGGAGCCGCACGTGCGGACGAGGTATAATTAATGAGCAAAATCAATGTTGAACGCTAGACCGATGCTGTACATCAGCTCCTACGAAATCTACATGTTACAGCAACAAGATCACAAACCCTGACCGAGCTGGCACACCGCTCTGGATGTCGCAATTCTTCACTGACCACAGACGTCAATCATGCAACCAGCTTTACTGATTACATAAGCTCCACTCTTCGCGAAATTTTCGAGTTTCTGCCGACATGGCTCATCTCGTGCGCAGGCAAATTACCCTGTCCATACATAGTATGGTAGACTCGAGTCTCGATGACCTTTCTGCTGATTGGATCTCAGGGTAGCCTGGAAGGCCATTTCATTGGCAGAGATGTCATATGGATTTTCCTTTTCAGCCGATGAAGATTCCGACAATGAGGACAAACCGAGACCGACTTTGTAGCTACTGAGAGTCCTCCATCGTCGCTGTCGTTTCGATAGGGTGTCGAAGTCGATGTAGCAAGGTGCGGTTGTAGAAGGGGCCGATGGCGTGGCTGCGGTGAAACTTGATACAGCCGTTGGATGACGAACTTGTCGTGGGGCTGGAGCTCGTTATTGTATCATCGCTTTCTGCGGTGAAGTTGAGGTGGTGTGGGGGCAAGGCGTTCGGTTGATTCGTATTGAGCCAGAATAGGAAGAAGAAGGTGGGAGAGAATTCGAGATCTGCTGTCGTCGAGCCTACGACATTCGAGAACACGATCGCCCGTACCATCGTCATCTGTGACCGAAGTGGAGTCTGGTTTCCTGTCAGCACCTCAAAGGAATATGCCCAAATCAGGAGATCGCTGAGCATGGAGATGGCTACAACGAAGTAGTATTTACGAGGAACATCCCCTGTCATACGCCACTCAATTTCCAGAAACTGCCTGACGGTGTACATTGACCTTCTTCTTCCAGACGGACAGCCTACCCAGAATCCAGGATTTGGTTGAGAGAAGATCTTTGCTTGCTTGGAGCACTTTCGTCATTTGAAGCGCCCGTATCCATCGGCACCCAGACCATATCAGACATTCTGACGCTCACAGCCTGCTTCGGTTCCCACGTATCTCGCGACTGCGTTTGATCGGACTCAGGTTCCTGTTCCATAGAGCTGATCGAAGACCTCGCCCAGAGTCGGATTCTCCCAGCGACCTTCCAGAATGCTCGTCTCGGAGACGCACTTCAACTCCAACTGGATGATCGGAACTGCGCCAGTCTCGCTAAGCAAACGCATCTGGCGCCAAGAAGCCCGAAAGTCCTTGCCTTGGCGCTTTCGCTTGGAGATGCGGTTTCTAGTAGGATACATGCGGTGGACTCTAACCTTGTAGCCCTTATACACTGCTGTCACGGAGTACGAACTATAGTCGTAAATTGGCCAGACCTTGACCTTGAAGGGGCCACTCTCGGAAAGGTCGTAGCCGACAATGCTATCGAGGAGCATTGGGTTTGCCTTCGGGAACCCACTGACAGCTGGCTTCGCATCTTCGCCGAACAGAGCGCGCCGGATTGCGGAAGAGCCGATGATGGTGTCGCGAAAGGCGTGGGAAGTGCGCTGGCTGAGAAGTGCGGTCTGAAGACCGACGATTTGGTCTTTAGGCTGCTGATCAGCCTCCGAGGAAGGCGCGTCGATGAGGTTGAGGAGAATCTGTTCGAGCAGTTCTGGAATGCCAGCGACTCGAGCGCCGGCGGAAAGCGGGACTGCAGAAATTTCGTCAGATACTACCGCACGATCATCGGAAGAGAATACTCACGCTGTGCTTGTGGAGCAGCCATGATGGCGACGTTTTGGTGTTCCACTGCCGTCCGCGGATGCTAGGTAGAACGCATGAGAAGGTCGCATTTAAATAAGTCGAACATCTGAAGAGCTTCCGGGAAGAGCGGTCCGCAAAAGCTTGGCCCGTGCATGCGAAAACCGCCTCTTGCGGAAGTTTTATTACACGTAGCTGGGAAATCAGCAGCGTCGCTATTACAAAAACAAGCTGATGTCTCCTCCTCTGCGCCAACCCAATCACCCGTCGCTTAGTCCTGGTACCACGGCATTTCTCCCTCACTAGGTAGCAAGTGGCTTCGCATGCTCCTTATAGTACAACAAATCGAAGACCTCTCCCAGCGTAGGATTCTCCCACTCCCCATAAACACAATCCTCGACAAAAACATTTCCAACCGCATTGACGCAACCGCGCTCCAATTCCGTAACTTTCGGTCCTCCAGTCTCTTGAAAAATCCGGATCTGGCGCCAAGAACCATGAGTTTTCATGTAAGAAGTCTTCGCATTCGATTCCCGGTACTTCGCTCCGTCGTCGGCATAGCGGGTGATGCGGACTGAATGTTCGGATGTTGTGATAGGTCTCACATGGAAATCGTCGAAAATCTTGCGCCAGTCGACTGTGACTTCGAGGCTGGTTCCATCGGCTAGGTTGATAGGCTGCTCGTCACTGTCTTGGAAGAGTGGATTCAGTTCTGGGCATCCTGGTGCTGATAGGAAGGTTTGCTCGAAACCAAGAGCACGTCGTAAAGATGGCGCGCCAGTAATTTGGTCGCGGAAGGCATGGCAGGTGCGCTGGCTTAGGAGAAGAGTGCGCAGGCCCTCTGACTCGTTTGATGCGAGGCGGAGGAGGATCTTTTCAAGGAGTTCTGGGATATTGGCGACTCGGGCGCTAGCGGGTAGTGGTGCTGGAACACAATCATTAGGCGATGCGCGCATTTCGGAGAGGTAAGTGCTTACGTTGGGATTGGTTGGCCGCCATCGTGGCGATGACTTCGCGGCTCCCCGTTGCTGTCGGACGAGATATGCGTTGATTAAGAAAATTGCAGAGGTGACTCGACAGCAGGAAAGTCGCAAAATCTCGAGGGTGCTGAAACAGCGGCCCGCAAAAGCTTAGTTTTGGCTGCATGTGAAAACTGGGTAAAGGCAAGCGGTGAGACCGGTGAGGAATGTTTCTGAATATTTGCGATAGTCACGAGCCTATGCCATTCCCACTGTACATTACGCTCCGCTCACGACTATAGAACATTCTCTATACCGTAACCTAGTAGCTGAAACTTCAGGTAGTCGCACCGCATCGAGAGCAACGGAAGTCACGCCGTCGAGTCATCGGTTACAAAGCCAAATTAGCCACGCTGTCGTGTTTTGCACTCCGTATCCACTTGAATAAAAGCATCCTCTTCGCCATAGAGGATGGGGTGGCGGTTTTCGTTAGGACAGATCGTCTAAACACGTTCTGGCTCAAGTCTGCCTGTCCGCAGAGCAGCTCGCATCAGATCTGCGGCATATGAAGGCACCAGGTCTGCCACAGCGTCGAAGGCCTCAGATGAGTGCCGTGCGTCTTTTGCAAAGAGCCGTTCAGCTTCCTCTAAGGAGATCTCGATGATGATCCGGCGCAGGAGCTTCTTGGCATCGGACGTGGCTGTGTATGCAAGTTCGACAGCTTTGGCAAAATCGTCGGCCTTGAAGTTGTTGTTTGCATGATAGCGGAGGCGGTTGAGTGCAAAGCGCTGAAGCGGCTCGATGAGATATTTCTCGGCCGCTGCAAAGACGTGGACATTGAAGGCCATCGGCCCACCTCCATCAGCAAGAGCGGGGAGGACTTGATCGCCAGTATCGCAGTACTCGAGATGATAGCAGAAGTCCAGCATTGCTTTGATCACAGATGGCTCGTCCTCTTGCAGGACTATTTGTTTCGCGCCACTCTCAACAAAGCCAGTCGTGATAGCCTTCAGGAACCAGTCCGATTGCGCGGCAAGGACATGGCGGTGAGCCGGCAGCTCGAAAAATTGGCATTTGATCTTGATGTCGCACAGAGTCTCGTCGAGCCGGAACCTGTTTGTTAATGTTAGCTCCGTTGCTTCGAACAGCGTTTTGACGTTCGAATGGAGGTTTGTAGGCAGAGTGCGTAATTTGGCATGAGGACTTACTTCGCCAGCCGGTTGCAAAATGCCGCCCTCTCCACTTCATCATAGAAGACGCGATCAAGGGCCATGACGATTCTGTGTGGAGTAATTTGCAGTCTGTTGGCGCGATGTTGAAGCGAAGTAAGCTGGAGAGCGTTCGCAGAGACGAACTGTTTGTTTGGGTCTTGGCAGCCCGTGCTGTGCGTCTCGAGCGTGAGGGCTGAAGCTGGACTTGTCTCGACGCGTGAGACGGCTGGAGATAGAGACGTTCTATTTTCGCGCAGGGTATCTAGAAATGCTGCGAAGGAGGACAGGACTACAACCAAGCAATATTCTCGCGCGTCATTCATGCAACTGCCAGCATCACAGATCTCAGGTCATTTGCCATAGATCACAGCTCTTCGTCATCCAAGTACTGCATTGTCCTCACCCCTTCTTTCGACTGCTGCTGCTGCTGCCACGTCGAAACTTGAGAGCCCTCCCACCTTGAGCGATAGAGCCACCACTATGACTGCGACTCATGGTGCAAACAGGTGCAGCTTCATCACTGTGCATGCTGGCCAGTGCAAATGAGTCTGTGTTGTGCGCGTAGTAAAGGTAAGCACCATCCTTGGTCACTTTGACGGTGAGAAGTCCAATAGCGCCGGTGCTGTCTGAATGCTGCACTGATGGATGGCCCATGAAGTCGTGCTGAATGAAGCCCTTGAGGATCATCTCCTCCATGACATCGCTTTCCCATTTGCCGTCTTTACCTCTGGATTCTTGCCGATAGACGCGATCACTGCACACTTGTGAAGCCTGCGTCGTACTTATGTGTTCGCCGGTGCCAGATGTGACTGTCGCTACGCACGTCTTGTCCTCGTCATCCTTGTGGACAGGGACGACTGTCGCGCCGGTGCCCACTAGTGCAGCAGGACCGATTCTGCCACGATGCTTCATGCCGATGCCGCCAGATGAGGCACCACATGCAATGTTTCCGAAGTTGTCAAACGCTATAGCGCCTACTGTGTCCGTGATGTGGTCTTCACGCGAGTCCATTTGTGGATGCTTCGATGTAAAGGGACGTTCTAGGATTGGCTTTGGCAATGGTTCAGGCAGATCTTGGAGGTACGGTATCTTTGGAGATGTCGGGGGAGACGGCGAAGATGCTTGTGGGGTGGAGGGACTGAGAACTTCAGTCTGGTCAGAGTCCAGAGATGACAGGGTCTCGTCCGTCTGGGAGGCCTCGAACTTTGCGGATGTCTTCAACAAAGGCTGATGCTCCTCGTCCAAAGACACAAAGTAGTCACGCTCAGCCGCGTCCTCTGAAGAAGTGTTGCCTCCATCTTTGTTCGATCGCACGGAGCTTGAGAGGCCGGTCGGAGACAGCTTCGACGAGCTGTTCGCAAATGGATGATTAGCCATATTGCCATAGGGAGGACCGCCAGGATCGCGAGAAACATCTGGATGGTTGTCTGAGTCGAACTCGGGTGTGGTGAATCCAGTCTCGTCTTTGGAAGGATCTTGGATGGAGACTGCAGAGGACGTCGATGGGCGCTTCGAAGAAGAAGATTCGGCTTCCGGGAAATCAGTTGGTGGCGGTGACATTGGCTGCGCCTCGTTGTACAATGCTTCTGCACCCTGCAACATTTGCAAGGAATGGTGTGATCGATACTTCTCATAAGACTCATGCTCGTTGAAGTATGCCGTCGAGCCCTGCTCGTTGTCGAACAACTTGGCCTCTTCTCGGCGTCTATGTCGTTCGGCCTTGGCTAGATCTGCTCGCCACTTCTGCCACCGATGCCTAGTAAAATTCGATATCAAAGTGTCGTACTGCACAATGCTCATGTCGTGTTCCTGAGCAAACTTGGTAGCTCCAGGGCCAACTAGCAAGTTCGGTGGCACTCGGCGTAATGACAAGGTCTGAGTTGAGTGGTCGAGAAGGAGACGTGCTAGGGAGATCGGGTTCTTGATCTCTGTGGGGTTTTCAGTCGTGTTCTGAGAAATAGTATGTCAGCGTACTTACGGGCGACTGCACCACAGGCGCCACTCCGACCAAAGTGGTCAACCACAATGGCATCACACTCGACCACGCCGTCGAAGCCCAGATTGCTGCCAAATCCAGCATTGGTGATTTCGCGGTCTTCCAACACCCTGATAGCCATCTCAACTGCATCTACAGCCGAGCCTCCGTTTCGTAGTATGGCCATTCCAGCTTTGCATGCACTATGTGCCGGTCAGTCACATGTCGACGTTGTCCGCGTGTCTGCCTCGAACTCACTCTGCGCATGCCTGCAAGTGATGGATCTCATTTTCCTTGGAGTGGTATCCTGCTCCTGCATGGACGAAGATGCACGCGATGTCGCTCGCTTTACGAGGCGCACGAGAATTGCGCTGAAACATGGTGATTGCTCTGCTTTGGAGATTCTGTAGGATCGAGTGGTCGGGCTGAGCTCGGTGTGCTATGCCGAAAGGTAAGGCGAAGTTGTCAGACGGCTATCCTTTAGGTTGAAGTTGTGATGCATTAAAGACGCAGAAGCGCCAGATCGACATGTGCTATCGATGCACCTCGAAGCGAGCGGACCCTTCCGTGCTGGCCGAGATAGAATCTACTTGAGTGAAGGAATGAAGGCTCGTGGAGAGCGGGAGATGCTGGAGTTGACAAAGATGAGATGCTTCGAAGTTCAGGTAGGCCGGCACAGACGTTTCTCCTTCTCCATGTGCTGCTCTTTCCTCCTCTGTGAAGGAAAGAGCGAAGTAGTGGCCCGGAAGTTCGGCATCGCAACGCCTGTGCAGCTTTCACATGACAGGATCAAAATCTACGCATTTCACCATACTGCATGCCCGGCGGTGCTGAAATGGCTCCTATCCAAATAGTAATGAACGTACACGGTGAGAAGTGAAACGTTTGAGGGTGAAGTCAACGGCTGAGGCTCTGCAACGGTCTTGGCACTGGTTCGGGATCGCCCCGCCCCGCCCCGCCATCGTGAAATGCTCCGCCGATGTTACGTATGAAGCTCAGCGTTGTGCAGGCGCCAACTATTCATCTCTATTGCACATCACCACCAGGCAGGAGCGGAAACATTACGAGCTTGTTTAACGACCTGTGCTCCGCTAGGATCGCCACCTCTCTCCCACCAATTGCGTGAAATACAACCGCAATCATGGCCCCGCAAACTCCAGCCGTTGTCATGGACAAGTACGAATGCCATAGAATAGCTGGTGAAGGGCATAGCTAACAGAGAGAGCAGTGGTACTGGATACTCCAAACTTGGATTTGCAGGCAATGATTCACCTTCCTTTGTATTCCCAACCGCGATCGCAACGAAAGGCCCAGGCGGTGGAGGTGGAAGTTCTGGCTCTGGCAGGCCAGCAGTAGCGAATAAGCCTACCTTCTTGACCGGAGGCGCAGGACCACAGGGTCATCTAAGTGCGAAGAGAGGGACGGAGGACTTGGACTTCTTCATTGGAGATGAGGCACTGAGCGCAGCTTCAGGACCCGGTAGGCAGAAGTGCGGTAGCCTGTGTAAGACATTGGCTGATGTGGAACAGGCTATGGACTACACTATCCTATACGGCATGGTCAGATCGAGAACTGGGTATGTCATACCAGTCTCCAATATCCAAGAAAAGCACCAATGCTAACGATAGGCAGGACCATATGGAACGCTTCTGGTCAAATTCCATCTTCAAGTACTTGCGAGTAGAGCCGGAAGACCACTACTTCCTTCTCACTGAACCACCGCTCAACCCACCGGAGAACCGCGAAGCCACCGCTGAAATTATGTTTGAGTCCTTCAACTGCGCCGGTCTATACATCGCCGTGCAAGCCGTCCTTGCCCTAGCTGCATCCTGGACCAGCAGTAAAGTGCAAGACCGATCACTGACCGGAACCGTCATCGATTCTGGTGAGGGTGTCACCCACGTCATCCCAGTTGCGGAAGGATATGTCATTGGAAGCTCGATCAAGAGCATACCTATTGCTGGACGAGACATCACATACTTCGTGCAGTCACTACTGCGAGACCGTGGAGAGCCAGACAGCAGCTTGAAGACAGCAGAGCGGATAAAGGAGGAGTTTTGCTACGTATGCCCCGATATCGTCAAGGAATTTGCACGTTTCGACCGCGAGCCGGCAGAGCGTTTCAAGCAGTACGAGGTCAAGTACCCGAACGGCAGGAGCGCCATGGTCGATGTCGGTTACGAACGATTCTTGGCTCCGGAGATCTTCTTTAACCCTGAGATCTACTCATCCGACTTCCTCACTCCACTGCCAAACATTGTCGATACCGTCATCCAGACCTCGCCGATCGATGTTCGAAGGGGCTTATACAAGAACATTGTCCTTTCTGGAGGTTCTACACTTTACCAACAGTTCGGCCGAAGGTTACAACGAGACATCAAGCACCTTGTCGATGCGAGAATTGCCCACTCGGAAGCACGTGCAGGCAACGCCGCCAAGTCAGGAGGTCTCGATGTGCAGGTCATTACCCACCGAAGACAGCGACACGGTCCATGGTTCGGAGGATCATTGCTCGGCCAAACACCAGAGTTCCGAAGCTACTGTCATACTAAGGCTGAGTACGACGAAATAGGACCAAGCATTGTGCGAAGATTTGCTCTACTTGGAGGTCCCGGCTCCACATGAGGAAAGCCAGCTTCAATTCGAGGAGAACGCGGCTCTGCCAAAGCTAGTCGCGGCCGACATGTAAGACCGACATTCAAAAGTGATAGACATTGACAGAAAAAAGCAATTATAGTAGCTCGTCGGCAGGTCATGCAGCGTTACAGCGTCTCTGGTGTAGGTAGCCATGGCAGCAATGCATACTGTGAAAAGATGAGAGAAGCCAATGCCGTGCAACTCCATATGCCAAGAACGATGATGAGCTTCAGCGCATATTCATCGCATTGAAGCACAATATGATCAACCACAACACTGCCTACATAGCCACGCCAAGTAAGTCGCCCAACGTCAAAAGCAAACCCCATGAAGCACAAGCTCCCAACCCAGCCTCATATGCCTCGTTCCTGGTGCCTGAATTCGTACTACCTCGCACTATCTAATAAGATCTCATCCATAGTCTCTGTTCTTCTGTCTTCTCACACATTTAATCCAACTATGTCCCCTTTTCTCTCCCTCCCTTAACATCCACAATCGCCATCCTCCTAATCAATCTCCAAAAAATCTCTGCCTTTACACCCATCCGAGATTCCATCTTCTTAATGCCTTACAACCCATTCTCTGGACATTGCTCGTCATTGGGGCTTTAATGTAGTAGGGACGTGGGTGTATGATTTTGCGCAATTTCCTTGCAAAAAAAAAAAAAAAAAAAGAGGAGGGGATGGAAAATTTCGAGGAATTCTGTGGACTGGGAGTGGTGATATTCGCGGTTGGCGCAGCTGGCTTGATGGGAAGTGAAGGGAAGTGGGTGAGGAGGTGGAGGTGGATAATGGATGAGGGGAGATTCGCGGATTGATAACGTCGAAGGGACTTGTCGCAGCGTTTTGTAAGGAAAAGTGAAGATTGTGGATGGGGGAATTGAATTGTTGGAGATGGGGAGTATGAGATGGGTGAGTGGATCTACCTTCAAGTTTCTTTCTTTCCTATAGCTGACAGACCGGTAGTCTCTTCTGGTGAGGGGCATCGAGCAAATCTCTTTTGGAAGACTGCAATGGTGTGAAGCGAAGCTTGGGTGGCTTTTGGAGGTGTGCGGCATCGAATGCGAGCAAGCTGGAGACGAAGTTGAATTGGAGAGACGGAAGGTGGCATCCTGAGGTGGGTGTTTCGCGGGAGTTATGGTTGGAATAAGGGCGTTTGAGGAGATGAAATGTAATGCGAATGCGTGTAGTGAAGTTGAGGACGCATCATTGCTCGCTATTGATTTCAAGTCAATGAAAGCAAATTGTCGACGCCGATGCCGAGTGATTCTACGTCGAATCTATAATGTATGGTAGACCTTCAATGATTCTGATTACCTGTCGGCGTTTGTTTGAGCCAGTTTCAAGATCTCATCAACATGACTGCCAAGCTATAGTAATCATGATGACTCCAGTACAGTACTTCCATTCTGTGACCATGTCGACGGCATGCGGCTTCCTCGGCTAGGAATGAAGAGGAGCGAAGAGGAGAGGTCTAGGGTAACCTCGTCTGCCGACTTTACTCCAGCTACAAGTTTCGGATCGGTCCTGAGGTGCATCATATTGTTGCCCGGGCAGATTTGCTGCCTGTAGGCCCTGGATCGCTTCGGATAACAAGACTGATTAGTACCTAAATCACCAAGACGGAGCCCGGCACGTGGTTGAAGACGGGGAGCAGAGCGTTGGATTTTGCGTGCCTTACTTGTAGAGATGTGCCGCCTCATCCACGCACAATGTCCATAACCTTACAACCACGGTGATCCAGTGATCACCGTAGAGGTAATCCGAGGCTGTTACGTCCACCGTCCACGGTATATCGCAAGTTAATATTGCTGGTATAATAGTGTATTGCTAGCAGAATCAGACTATCAGTTCAATCAGATCTGGTCCAATCCTTCGGCTATCCCTTGCGGCTGGCAGGATATCGTGGTATTCTTGGCGGCTATGCCTAATCTGATTAAGACCCGACTTATGGACACTGCTATAGAGATTAGACGTAATGGTTTTAGTAGTGGACATGAGGCTGAAGTTCCATCCACGGTGGAAGCACATCCCTACATACTTGGGATAAGTCGGGCTCGTTTGTCGTTCGTTGTGAGGAGTGGCATCATCATTGGAACGTTTCAGCACAGAATGCAAAGCTGCCAAAGAACTACGGTCCAACGTGAAACTATGGCGTCTTGTCATCGGCGATGCTCGACCTTTCACGGGACCCAGAGGTATTTGGTCGCTCTTGCATATTCTGTCGTTGCAGTCAATCCCAGACTGAGTGTTGCAGCAGATCATTCTTCTACCCTTCACGGATTCCGGTTGTTTCCTCCGTTCAGACACGGGCGGAACACGTACCGAAGGCCCTTGTCTCCGTTCATCAGAGCATTCTCATCGTTGGTTTACGGCGCATTCTCGGTGTAAGGCTCGAGTGGTCCTGGAATTGCAAATGTGTCAAGTGCCATTGTCAATGTCGGTCCGTAACTAATGTCACCGAATTCGATGTAGCAAGGAGTCGGTGTCCACTCCGTGTCGCTTCGGCACTTGAACCGATTGCCGGACCGCTGCTTTGTGGCGAAATGAAGCCCGACGATCGTGCTCCGTATCTTCATGCTGCTCTACTATGTCTTTACGCGCAGGCCAATGGAGACCTGACGCCGCTTCTGATATCGAACATCATTGCAGTGTTATGCTTTCCCATGAGCGCACATATGGAGAAGGTGGTCCAGTATGTTCAACCCATGTCCATTGCAGGTATCATTCCTCCGTAAAGCCGCCGTGGGTGGGCACGGTATCAGGCAACGGCCGGAGGTCGAAAGCTACAAGACACGAAGTTTGGCTGAATGCGTCCCCGTGCCTGGCGTCTCAGTCTTGGAAGGCGATTTGGTTTCGTGGTCCCCGTGAACACACCACTGCTTGTTGTCCTCTGGCGGCTGTCGCGCTCGCGGAGTGAACAGTGATGAACTTTGAGCTTGAAAAGGGGTCAGAGAACAACCACGGGTACCCAGTAATATCTCTGCACGTATAACGGAATGGCCATTGCTCAGATTGAGGATACACCCTAATTAAGCGAGATGGCGGAAGGGGGTGATCCCTGAAAACGGAATCTAACTAGTCAAAGCTAGCGTACTGCCTAAAGGAGTTATCCGCACCTTTAAAAAGTTTACGTCTAACGTTTTTAAGCTAGCTACCGTTTATAGAGATTATTCCCGTCCGCTATCTCGCTTAGTTAGGGTATATAGTAGTGTTTTTTAAAGTAGCTACGTCTATATAACGTTCGTATATCGGTATATACCGTAGGGAATTAACTAACGTAATAGATAGAATATACTAGAAGCGGCTCTATAGGTATAAAATATAGGTACCTAAACTATTTAAAAACCTACTCTAAACCTTACTAGTTTCTTTAAGCGAGCTAACTATATCGTAAGAATCTAATACCTCTATATTATCGATACCTAAATACCTACCCTATAGGTACTAGTAGGAGGCCTAGTATAGGTATATATATAGCCTTAGCGACCTCGGCTAGACTATAAAGGAACCTATAGCCTTAACCCCTATACTACGTATAACCGTTAGGCGTATTCTAAAAGGTAGAATTAAAATTTAAAGGCTTAAAGCATTAGCTGCTTAGAATACTAGACCCTATAGATATAGAGAGATAATAGATTAGCCGAGGCCTATTTAGATAATCTAACTAATCGAGATAAGCCGTTTATTTAGATAATCTAACTAATCGAGATAAGCCGTTTATTTAGATTATAGCTAGACTTAGTATCTACGTACTAAAAGCCGTTATTAACCGCTCGCTTAGGGCGTAGGGTCTTAGCCGCTATTAGCGGATAAAAAAGCCTAAAACTTTACCCTATATTCGAGCTAACCGGATTTAATAGGTAACGAATCTCCTACAGTAGAGTAAAGTTAGTATACGTTATATCTTAGTACTAGACTAGATTGCCTTTAGAATTAGTATAGGATAATAGGAGTAGTTAGGCTACGCGACGTTACGCGAATATAGGGTAACTATAGGGACCTGTAACCCTAGTTATAGATAAATATAGTAGTAGCTTTAAGACCTCTTATTAGATAGATATAGACCCCGTAGTAGTTCGGGTTGGTTTAGTTTAGTTTGCTAAGCCGAAGATCTAGTTTAGTTTAGGTTAGTTTACTAAGCAACTATAGGATTAGCTAGTTCGAACTATAGAATTTATCGGTTTCTAAGAAGTATAAGAATGTCTACGTAACTCGAAGCAAGCCCTTTATAAGATACGAGAGTATAGCCGGCAGCGTAGCCGGCATTTTTCAGTTATAGGAAGGTACTTATATAACTCTAAATCTATAGACAATTAGCTAAGGGCACTAACTAATTAAAAGCATATACACATATATAAGCTATTATAGTTTAGTTTAGAAACTGTACTTATTAGGTATAAATTTTATCCTTTCGCTCGCTATTTAATTCCCTAACTACTCGGTAGAATATTATTATCTAGATCTAGGTAGAACTTATCGATTTCCCTAGAAGCCCTCCTTAAGAAGTTCGAACACTTTCTAACTAAACTATTCTCTAATATTAAGTACTAGGATAGCTCCTCCCTCGGTATCGGTATAGTATATAAAAGAGCTATAAGGCAGCTCTATAGAACGTTCTACTAGTTACTCGCTATACTAAGGCCGAATACTAGTTCGTTCCTTAGAACTCTTAGTTATTTAGGAGATATTAAGGATAGGGCAGGTAGTAACTTCGTATTATATAAGGAGGTAGAGGCTACTATAGAGGAGTCCTTTAACCTATAGAAGATAGTAAAAGATATAGAGGCAGCTATAGGTCTAGGTACCTAGTTGAATTTCTAGTAGGTAGAGTATAAGGATATTTAGAGGGAGTATTAGGTAGAGTTGCGAAGGCAGGTATATAATATAGTCTAGAAAACAGGGATAATGCCTATAACTATAAATATTAGGCTCTTTAACCTTCCTTATTTTTCCCTATTTTCTTTTTATAAAAATCTAAACTAATACAAATCAACCGGAATATATATCTTCTTTTAGTTCTTTAAAAACCTAGTAGCGTAGCCGGTAGCGTAGCCGGTAGCGTAGCCGGCCTTTTTACTCCTTAGAACTAACGGGATTTTCGAAGACTTCTATTCCGTACGGCTAATAAAGCATACTATACTATATATATATACTTAGAGAGTATTTAGAGCGCGGTATACAGCGCCGTATAACAGCGGCTTATTTCGTATATAGAAAAGCTTATAGACGATACTACGAATATCCTTCCTACTAGAATATCTATCCTACCTAGTACTATCTCGAATATAGACATTCTAGCCTTTTAGAATCTAATCGAGTGCTTTGAAATCCTTATCTATAATCGTTATACGCTTCGCGTAGATAGCTATAAGGTTAACCGCTAAAATAGTATTAGTATAGTCCGAAAAGAGGTAGGAGAGAAATATATATTCGAAGATACGAACTAGGTAGGCTTCTATAGCCTCTTAAAGGGCGCCTATCGCGGAGGCTTAGAAGCGAAGGTCCGTTCTATAATCCTAGGCAATTTCGCGAATAAGTCGTTAGAAAGGAGCTTTACGGATTAGGAGATTAGAACTCTTCTAATACTTCCGATTTCCGAATCTTACGGAGGGCTACGGCTAAAGAAGGATTAGTAAAAAGATAGTAAGAATACCGGCTACGCTGCCGGCTACGCTACCGGCTATAAATAGAACTTACTTCCTAGGCGCTATCGACGCTTCGTACGATTATTACTACTAGTAGTAGAAGCGCTAGTCGTCGTCTTACGTAGAGCCTTACCCGCCGTTATCTTACGCGGAGCCTTACTCGCGACGCCCTTTCTAGTACCGGATCTAGCGGTAGTAGCAGCAGCCTTCTTACGTTAATATACTATACTCGTTCTACTATTTCCTGTCTTATTACGACCCGTAGAAGTAGTAGGTCCCTTCTTACGAGGCGTCGTAACTTAGTTAAGTAGACTCGGTATTATAAAAGTCGTCGAATTAAGGAAAAAAGTGTATTACGAAGGTATACGAAAGCGCGCGCGGAGCGAGGGTATTACGGAGATAGTAGATATAGAGCGAAGAGATATAGGTATCGATACGAAAGTTAAATATAGCGAGAGAGGTAGCATCGCGGTATCGCTAGGTAATAGAGTAAGCGTCGCGCAAGCCTATATTATAGTAACGTTAGAGCAAGGAAAGAAGGTAGGTACGGCTAAAAAAGGTAGGTACGGCTAAAAAAGGCAGGTACGGCAAACTTTGAAATATAGCCGGTATATATAGCTGGTATAGTACTAGGCGAAAGCCTCCTTTTAATAAATAGCCGGCGTAATAATAGTATCCTACTATAGTATAGATATTCTTTAGTAATGCCCTTACTAGCTATAGTAATCTTATAAGTAACCTAGGCCTATTGCTAGTAAATATAAGAAATATTAGGTAGGCTATACTAAACAAGCTAGTTATTTAGTAGGAAAAGGCCTACTACCGTCTCTATATACCGGCTACGAGTACCGGCTATCGCTCTAAATTCAACTCCGCTCTATCTCGGAGGCTAAGGTACCGAGCGGAAACCCTATAGCTTATATTTACTCGGTTGTCGCGGAGCGCTTATAGGTAAGGTATTAGAAAAGAGTATAAAAAGTATAAGAAGAGTATCCTAGGATATAGGTCGTAAGTAAATAAGAGTAGTACGCCTAGTTATTTATATAGTACGTTACTCTATACGACTAAGAGCCTATATTATCTTATACTTCGCTTATAAGACCTCGACTCTACTAGTATACTATCGATCTCCTCCTCGGTCGCTAATACGCTATCTTAATTCTTCTTCGAGTTGCCGGACTTAGTGCGCATCTATAGCTATATAATAGCGCTACGTATTATAGAGAATCAACTCCGCCGTATCTTAAAGGCTAAGGTACCGAGCGGAAATCCTGTAGCTTATATTTACTCGGTTATCGCGGAGCGATTATAAGTAAGGTATTAGGAAAGAGTATAAAAAGTACGAGAAGAGCATCCTAGGATATAGGTCGTAAGTAAATAAGAGTAGTACGCCTAGTTATTTATATAGTACGTTACTCTATACGACTAAGAGCCTATACTATCTTATACTTCGCTTATAAGACCTCGACTCTACTAGTATACTATCGATCTCCTCCTCGGTCGCTAATACGCTATCTTAATTCTTCTTCGAGTTGCCGGACTTAGTACGCATCTATAGCTATGTAATAGCGCTACGTATTATAGAGAATTTCTCGTTAAAGTTTCTCTCTCGTAGGCTTACTATCTGCCTCGTAGTATAGAGGATTAAAGTGCTAATACTAAAGAATCTCCTTATAGTTAAGATACTAGGGCTCCTTAGGACCTTTATATTTTAGGTCTAAATAGAGACGTATTATAAACGTTCTATCGCCCTTTCGCTTACTACCCGCTAGGTCGCGATATACGAAGAAACTAATCTAAATATAGCTCGTCTCTATAATAGCCGGGTAAATATAGAGCGCTAGGTTTCTACTTCGTACCTTAGATTTAGGGACTATACGGAGATAAAATCAGAAATATAGCCGGTACCTATAGCCGGTAAAAGGATACGAAAATAGGCCTCCTCCTAGGTTAATCTACCGACTAAATACAATTTCTAACTAATCCGCTATAAACCGACGCCGAATTTTAGCTAGAAGCTATATATCTTTATTTTAAAGAGTAACCCGCTTCGTATAGATAGTAAGTAGGTTTAAAAGCTTAAGCTCGGTTACGAGAAATGCCTCCGTAGCTTCCTAAAGAGTACTAATCGCCTTAGCCGTAAATCGTATACTAGACCGAAAATCTAATATAATTTCTCGGACGAGTCGCTAGAAGGGAGTCTTAGGGATTAAAAGCTCGGTCCCTCTTTTGTTTTAGAAAAGCCGGATCTAGCGAAGGGTAATAGTACCTAGTTTAAAGCGCCGCTTCTTTATCGTCGAGTTCTACCTTATTCCCTTTTTTTAATAGAAAGATAACTTTTCTTCGCGATAGCCTTCGTCCGCCTACTCTTCTTAGCCTTCTCCTATCTACTTAAAGCCTTCTTATTTTT